CACACACGCCCAGCGTCTGTGAAGATCTTGAATTCACGCTCACGAATGTCCCGAATCAAGCTGACCTCGTGAGAGATCATGTTGCGCCGACGCAGAGAGAGCATGGTGTTGACCAAGTGCGCGGGATCTCGGTGGACACCGACCCAAACACCGTTCACAAACACCTTCGTTGCATTGGGTGTCACCTGAGGCTCAAACTCCTCAAGCACTTCCATGTTGCGCTGAATCATGAAATCGATGATGGGCTCGCTGGGTGTGCCGACAGTGATATAACACATGAGAGCCAGGTTCTTGACCAGACCACAAGCTTGACCTTCAGGAGTTTCTGCAGGACAGACCAAGCCCCAATGGGTGTTGTGAAGCTGACGAGGCTTCGCGATCTTACCGTCACGACCAATTGGCGTGTTGGTACGCCGAAGATGTGACAAGGTGGAGGCATAGGTGTAACGAGACAGCACCTGCGAGACACCTGCCTTCGAACTTGCTGCCTTTTTCTGTTCTCCCCAGTTACCGGTGGCGAGGGCATATTTCAGACCTCCAGTCAAGGTACTGGCCTTGATACCGATGTTCAAGTAGATTTCACGATTAGTTTCCACACATCTCTGGACATATCGCTGGAGATCCCGAGTGACTCTCGTGAACAGAACTCGGAAGAGATTGGCAAGCAGAGGGCCAGCAAGGTCAAGTCGCTTCTTCCCGAAGTGATCACGATCATCCACATCGCGACGACCGAGAGCACACTGCAAGAGTCTGTGAACCATGTAACCCAAGAAGAAGGCCTTTCGCGTCTCGCTACCCTCGCTTTGGGAAATATGGGGAAGTAACTCCTTCTGCATAATATCTCGTGCGTATCTGACACGACGCTCGTGGTTCATGCTGGACTGAGAAGATCCACGTTTGGCGATGAAATCCAACGCGACCTCGCGGTCTTGGATGACAAAACCTTCCTCGATGCAAGGCTTCAGCATCTCGAGCATGGGGGTGTCATTTCTGTCGTAACAAATATGGTTGAGGATATCCTCGTCCGAAACCACACCCAGTGCTCTGAAAACGACGACAATGGGAATATCCGTCTTAACATAGGGAAGAGTCGATCTGATCGTAGGGCCAAATCCGCCTTTCGCGCTGTCTCCCTTAGCAAAAAGCTTAAGAGACAACTGCGAAAGTAGTCGTGAACCCTTCTCGACCGCACTTCGAATCTCAGCAACGTAGGGTGTAGGACTCGGTGGCGCCTTCTTGAAAACTTGCACTGTGTTTCCGGCGCTTCGCTCTTGAGCAATCAAAACCTTCTCACTTCCGTTGATAATGAAATAACCACCAGAGTCGTAGGGGCACTCGTTCCAGTTGTAAAGCGCCTGCTCGCTCAGATCCTTGAGGATACAGTACTTGGACTTGAGCATGATGGGCATTTTTCCAATGAACACAGTCTCCTCCTTTGCCTGATCAGCGGGAAGTTCTTTTTGTTCCCACTGCAAATATGTCCCACGGGCCTTTCTGTCCTCGTCCGCATCTGGTGCCGCATCGTCCTCATCACGATCCGCAATCAGCCGTTCCCGACCTTCCATGATTCGCTTAGTTATACCGAGGTAGAGTGGACTGGCGTAGGTGAGATTTCGCAGACGAGCCTCCTGGGGTAACATGATGGTAGTCGCACCATCACCTTCAGTAACCGAGGGGCGAGAGAGCATGACTGTTCCGAACTTGAGCTCGTATCGACGGAGAACGACGGGGTCGTCTTCTTCATCCGAAGGCGGAAGCGTCTGGTCGAGTGTGACCTGGCCTTGTTCCTCTACCAGCTCTTGCATCGTTGAGGAGATGAACTCATCGAAAGAGTCCAGCTGCTGCGACACCAGACCCTTCGTGTCGAAGAAGGAGGAGATAACCGTCCAGCAGTCCTCCGACGTGATCCCCTCCTCCATCTCATCGTAGAACTCCTCCTCGTACGCATCATCGTATTCGGCCATTTTGACGGAAATCGGGTTCGGTTTTGAGGCGGACGATCGATGAAAAAATGTGTTGAGCGCAGGGAGGGAGCGACGCGCTCAAACAAGAAAAGATCCCTCTTCCGTGTTGATCAACTGCTGCGACGAGCAGTGACACCAGCGTAAGTGTGCTCGAAAAGCGACACTTAAGACGGTTCACTAAGCCGGGAATCTCAGTTTGATTGATGGAAAGTGAGAGATCCCCTGCAGCAGAGGATGTTGGATGGAGCAAAGCTGGACGCTTCGATTCTCCGGCTTGCTGATGGATCTTGAGCAGAGAGCCGCCACTAGCGCCTCGACCCCGACTTGGCGCTAGTCTTCGACTAGAACAAAATAGGCAGTCATATCACGTGATAGTATTACTTTTACTGGCCTACGAGTGGATCATGGTGTGTGAAGAGGGCGATAGTCATCGCTCAACTCTCTGTTTCATCTTTACTATTCATGACATGCATTGATATACCACGTTCTATAAGAACTGTAGCAGGGTTCCAAGCATTTCTTTATGGTCCTTTTGCCCAGGCTCATCATCCGCAAGTCCCTCCATTTGCTCTGATTGAAAAGAAGTCAGTACAGAAGAAGGGAATCCTTCCAGTGAATGCTGCGTACCTTTCAAGGTCGCCTTAATAATAGACAGATCCTCATCCCTATCTGCTAATAGTGAAATGATTTTCTGCTTTGCCCCATCATCTTCAGCCACCAGCCACGCTAGTATAACATCGATTAACTGTAAGTGATAGGAGTGTTAGTCAATCAGTTCTAGAAAGGTGAATGATACCAAACAAACCTGCAGAGAGAAAAGGCCAGCGTCAAAGCGTCTAGAGAGCCATTCTGCAGCCATGGCTTCTTGCTCTTCGTCTGTGTAGTTCTTCCGTTCCTCCTCGATGGCTTGTTCAACCGGCGACACCCTCGAAGCGTAGTCCCGTCTTAGCTTCACGAGCTTCACAATCTTTTCGTAGTCCTTTTCCATGAATTTGGCAAGGGTACGAATGCGTGGAGCCGAACCTCCCGGTAAGAGGCGCAACAGTGACGCAAAGATACCCAACAGATGTTCTATTGTCTGGCTTTCTTGCTGTTTGAAGTCAGTTACAGCTGGCAAGGGTCTATTTAAACAAGACGCCTACCTTTCGCATGAACATTCCAAAAATTGTTCTCAGCCCTGCAACTTCGACTAGATGCTCGCACGCAGGGGCGCCCCCAATCCACCCAGAGCGTGGTCAAGAACTCGCAAGGCACGTTGCTTACTGAATTTGCCTTCCTTCAGCATAATTTGAGCAAGCTCAATGCCTTCGCCTTCCAGAAATTTCTCCTTGCCAGAATCTTCGTCGACGAGACATATCAAACAGTCGAAAAGATTCTCCACGTACTCCTCCTCGTCCGAGTCCTTTTCAGGGTCGCGTTTGCGGTAGTGGCTCAGTAGTTGAAGTAGAATATCGACACCATCGAGGCCAATGAATTTTTCTTTGTTTTTAGGAGACGATTGTAGCAGAATGGCCAAAACCTCTGCGGAGTACTGCTTATTTTGACTGACTGGATTTTCTTTCTGCTGTATGCGAGAGAGAAGCCACGATAATACGGTAGATTCTTGGCCAATGTTTTCCGCGATTGTGGTTTGAGAAGCCAAGTTTTCCAGCACGTCTGGTTATTAACGTTAGCGTCATGCCTTCAATAAATGTAAACCGAGGAGCATACTGAGCACGTAGTATACACCCGCTCTATCGGTTTCAGATGTTTCATCCAACCGTGACAGATTTTGAGTCAGGAGCTCAATGAGGTCGGCATCCAACTAATATCGTCAGCAATCGTTCCGCGAAGCGAGAGCGGCACATACCAATGCATTGACGAGAGCATCCCACTGGTCCTGTTCAGCCTCTACATCTTCATCCGTCAACTCACTGATGATCTGGATTACGTCAATGGCAATATCTGCGTTCTCATGGGACAGCAATGATGTTAGAGAGCCCACACATCCCAACTTGGCGAATTCTGCATATAAGTCGGGGTGTTCGGATAGGATTGAGAGTCCTTTAATCTCCGTGTCTAGATCGGCTTCCGACGTCATGAACCTGGGCAGATTGTGAGCACTCTTTGTCTCATCAAGCAATGAGGCCCTATCTACTCACTTCTGGGGATCATTCTCAAACTTCCCGCGGAGCTCGGCGTTTTTCGATATCTTTCTTTCAAAGGTGAGGGCCAGCCGTCGTAACCAGGCAGAATCGAATTTCTCTGGCTAAAGCAACGTTAGTGCTGGGTAGAGGTTGGCATTGCTGTCTCAGATCCTTCCATACCGCTGCCTCTCCTTCATCCTGCTGGTCAATGTATTGCATTGCCTGGGCTGTTTTGCGCTCCATTCCTCCCCCGAAGAATCGCCCTTCTTCATCGTCTGGGATATCCTCGGCATCGAAATCAGGTGGTAGTTCCGGACCAGCCTCGCCGTCGTCCTCAACATCTTCCTCCACCATCGGTGCCTTCCCTTTCGACTTGACATCGCCATTCGCGTCTAACTTGGCTGCTTTGTAAAGCTCATCTAGCATCGCGCATGAGCAACGGACTTGTAGAACGGGTAGGCCCACGGAAGTAGAAGAACATACTCGGATCTTGTGCAACCTCTAGCTTGCGCTTGGCGCTCGCTGCCGATAGAGGTTTCTTATTGCAATTAGCTTTGATCTAATGAAAATATGCTGAGGAATCTGTACCTTGAAGAGGTCGTCTATGCTCGTCATGGTTGCGACGTGCGCGGTGCGCAAAGAGAGCACAGAAGACTTTCCTGCAAAGGACGGGGCAGCAAGTCTGGAGGCACCAGCAATATAGCAAGAAGAAAGTTACCTGCGGCCTCCGAAGACGACTATTAGGCTCTCTTTTGAGTATGTATTCTTGCAATCTCTTTTCTTACAATCGGTCGCGCAAGCTACTTTGGAGGATATACAGGTGCCAGGACAAGCTAAAGACGCAATTAGTGATGCCAAGAGTTGAGCACTTGAAAGATTTCTCGGAGCGGCGTTTTCCTCCGCAGGCCATCAATTATCTACCATCTAACGTCTGCCCTTTGATCACCATTCCCTATTCTAAGCTATTACGCTAGAAAATCTCCATCTTCACATTCAGATCACATCATGGCTCCCAACCAGCGTGTCGTTGCTGCCAGCTCCGGTCGCCCCCAGAAGGGCTTCTTCGGAGCTGCATATGAAGAGCTTACCGCGCCCGAGAATACCACCATCGTCAGAAGCCTTCTGGTCTTTGGTGTAGGTGCCTCTTATCCTATAGTTCTTTTCGAAAGCCTTCTTGGAAGGATCACGGCTAACGCTCGAAATCCTTAGGCCGGCGTTGCGTTCCTTCACAGCAGCCTCAGCGAGTTCCTCCTCCCTCCGTAAGTCGAAGCATACTTCCCACACCTTTGATCTCTAGCACATCTCAACACCATTCTGGGACAGTAACTGATTGGGACAGTCTGTGAACAAACTCCGATGAAATCCTGGACATCAGCGGCTCGAGACCTCCGGAATGGGCCGCAGGGTTATCGACAACCCACTCGATCATGACACGGATGAGGCCACTTTCTTTCTATCATATTTTCTCCCGGCCTTGATTTAACGGCTACATGTACTATATTTTGCGCTTTGGTGGGCATACGTCTTTTGGGTGAATACTCGGATCACTCAGCTTCTGCTTTGAATATCAAATGGCGTTCTGATAGACATCGTGGTGCGAGGGCTGTGCTGTCTGATCTTGCTTGGTAACTCAGAAAATCATTCACAAGTAGCAAATTTGCATCAAAGAAGAGCGAACTCGTTTTCGAAACATGACCCTCGAGCGGCGCGGTTCGCTTAGTCGACGCCCATCAGTCGCTCATCCTCCCGTCTCCGTCTAACTACATGCGGTCTGCTATTGCATATGACATTTTGCGCCGTTGTTTTGCGCCTTTGGCTGCTTGCCACCTTTTTGGTCTGACCCTCTGTTCCCGGGAAAGTAAGATGGAGATAGCATGTCCGTAGAACGACACTGGGAGTTTGCTGGAGAGAAGATCCATTGCTCCCTGGTTGTGACCAGGAACATCAGTGGACTGACTTCTTCGTGTCTTCATTGCCTACTCCAGGATAAGCTTCCTGAATGTCAAGAGTGATGGGTGCCTCAGGTTATCTCGTAGCACATGATCCCAACACACCCTGCAGTGTTACAACGCCTCTGTCAGAGCAGCCAGCGAATATGATCGTACAGGTATTGGGACGCATAGTCTTGTATCCTCTGCTATGGTGCTATCTCTAGCGTCCCATTGAAACTATTTCCGTTGGTCTAGACCAATAATGCTCATTTGATATTGCCAAGACGCCAGAGGCATCATATCCCCGCGAAAACCCCGCACAAACTCCGAAAACCGCTTTACCCCCAGTGGCCGGGACCCGGGGAAATAGCTGCACTGGATGCGATCATGTGCAGACCTAGAACACAGACGAGAGCCATCGATTCCCTTCTTGATTCTTCCAAGGCCGCTCAGATCCGGTCCATGTATATCGGATCACATCGTTTTGCTGCAGGCGCAGCCATATCCAAATCTCCTCCCTCAGGATGGTAACCACCAAGCGCAAGGTGTCTAACGTAGACATGGATGCAGAGAACCCCAACACCAAAAAGAGCAACCTTCTTGGATACGATGCCCGCACGCCATGGCTCTTCGACTCCAAACCGTCTCTAGGTCGGCGGACAGCTGGGAACCCCGCGGTCCAACACACCCTTCCGCTGGCCAATATGGTTTCCACAGTACAAGATCTTATCGACCCGGATTTTGACCCTCTCATAGCGATGCTTGATGACGAACCGCGTTTTTTAAAGCCCTTGCCCAGTCGAATATCATCGGAGGACTTGGAGTTTTTGCGATTTCGAGGGGCGCTTTCGATTCCGGAGAGCGGACTGCGGAATGAGCTATTACGATGCTATATTCAATGGGTGCACAGTTTCATGCCTGTCCTGAACCTGCAAGAGTTCCTGCGATGCGTTGCAGAAAATGACCCCGAAGGAAACATAAGCCTCCTCTTGTTTCAGGCAGTGATGTTTGTTGCCACAGCATTTGTGGATTTTAAACATCTGCAAGATGCCGGTTATACGACACGAAAGAGTGCACGGAATGCTTTCTATGAACGATTAAGGGTATGTACGCTGTCATGAATAGGTCAAGGTCCCGCTCGTGTCTAATTCTTTACACCAGTTGCTCTATTCGCTCGACTGTGAGGAAGATCGAATCGCCATCTTGCAGACGCTCCTCTTAATGACATATTGGTCGGACCACGTCAACAACCCACAAAGAGATATCTGGGATTGGATAGGAATATGCAACACGCAGGCCCACTCTATTGGATTGAATAGAGACCCTACCGCATCCGACATGGATCCCAGAATGAAACGGTTACGGGTCCGCCTGTGGTGGAGTTTGTACTGTCGAGACCGTCTTATTGCCATGGGGTTAAGGCGACCAACCCAGATCAATGAAGGAACCAGTAGCGTTCCGATGTTGCGACTGGACGACTTTGACTTTGAACCCTTCCATCCGTCCACGATTGAGATATTTCGCTGCCGTCAACTGGAGGATGTGTCCCACCAGAAACGTCTAGCGACTATGTTCATTGAAAAAGCTAAGCTTTGCCAGAGCATTGGCCGGGTATTATTCGCGCAATACACGACCTCTCAGTGCCAGTTCGGTGTGACCAATAGAACCACCATTACACTTGTTCCGCGGCAGGCCTCAGAATCTGAGCTGGCTCGCTGCAGCCAAAGACTGGACTCGTGGCTCAGCGGCCTGCCGAAGGATGCGCAATACATTCCCGCATCCAAAACCGACTTCGAGGATGGGGAAGAGGTTCTTCTTCTTCATGGTGCCATGCTGAGAATGCTCTATCATGCGACCATAAGCGCGCTTCACAGGCCGTGGGCTTATGGCCGCGATCCGGACAAATCGCGCCTTGAAATAACGCAAACTGCGCGATCGAAGATGCACGATGCAGCTTTAGGAATCACACACATTATACAGGGGCTCAATCAGCTAAATCTGACACGGTTCCTCCCTCAATCTGGCGTCACTGTGATCATACCAGCAGCCGTGGCACACCTGTCAAATATCATGTCCAACAACCCCACAGTCCGAGAAACTAGCCTTCACCACTTTCAGAGATGTATTCAGATTCTTCGGGGTCTGAGAGATCTCTACCCCGCCGCGGACATGGAAGTCGCCAACATTGAGGCCGCAGTCAAAGTGCAGTCCGATAGTGTTGGCACTTTCCTCAAGATCATGGAATACAGCAACGTTAGCATCGACCAGCTTCAACCCCCAGAGCCGCCGTTACGTAGACAAAGCATCGATTCAAACATGCATACGGCTTTTTCGCCAGAGGATAGTTCTCCTGATCGGCGAGGGTCCTTCATAGAAACTAACACCCAGCAAAGGTCCGAGTTGGACGCGCAGCGCAAAGAACGCCGCGCTGAGTCCTTACAAACGAACAGAGCCAGCATTGCCACCTCAATCTCCCGATCTCACAATGAACTTGAACTCACGAACCATCAACAACAGCAACCTACCCCTACGAATGATTTCGACGACCACTTCAACAACTTCCCTTCGCCTCAAACAATCAGCTCATTCATTCCTGCAGATCTGCTGCGCATTGACATCGACTCCTTCCCCGATTTTGTGCCTCCAGACCCTAATATCTCCCCCGTCCCGGAACTAGACGTGGACTGGGCAGACGAACTTCTCGGAGGCGCAGAGCTAAATCCAGAGTATTCAGGGACAGGCTCGGTAAGCCATAGCCATGGCGGTATCACTGGCGATTTGGACAGGGATTTGGGTCTGGCTCTTGATTCATATTAATGGCGCCCTACATGATGATGATTTTTGTTGTTGACTTCCTTCCGAGCCGGTGTATTGGTCTATGCTACTTTTGTGATATCCATGGTTCCCTTTGTAGGATTGTACAGGATTACCAATACAAATTATGTTTTACTATGCATAAGACCGTTCCGTTGACAAGTCGCTGCGGATGGAGCATTATCTAAAAAAAGCCTGTTCGTCGCTGTTGTATAAGCAATATACACAATCAAGCAGCCATGAATGGATCATCTAAGTCTAGTTGTACCTCCAATCTATCCCAGATTCGTATCTCCGATGTACAAGATGTACAAGATCTGCTTCGGCCCGTTAAACAACAGTACCTTAGCATATGCTATCTCTGCTTTGCCCAGCGATTGCTCTCATCCCCTTCCTCCCAGTATTGCTCGATGTACCCTAGCCTCTTCTTCACCTCTTGCACCGTACTCTTGTCGCCCGTGTTCTTTCCCATGTTGTCGCTCAGCTTGACGGCGGGGCGGCCGTTAGCCGTAGCGATCTTGATCACGATGTTAAGCGGCTTTGATTTCTTGCCGTCTGATTTATTCGTGAAGTCGTCTGTAAGTCGAACGGTTAGTGGAGCTGTTGGCTGGGGGTTAGAAAGGGCAGAACTCACTGGTGAAGAAAGTCCCTACACCGAAAATGGGGGCGAAGCCGGCCTCCTCGGCAATGGTCTTGTACTCGAGACAGTGCTCGATGTTCAGCGAATCTGAAAACACGACAGTCTTCTTCTCTGTGATTCCTTCCTTGTCGTAGAAGTCGCGGACCATCTTGACGAAGTAGGTTGGGTCACCAGAATCCTGACGGACGCCTGTGTAGACTTGCGCATATGTCTTGGAAGAATGCTGGGAGTCGTTCTCGTGGAGGGGAGCGGTGATGGGAGGTTTGGTTTCGGCCTCGCTCTGAGGCTGCGACTCGCTTGTGGTGCCTGCTCCCGATGCAGTTGTGGTGACGGCACCGACACCTGCGCTGGTGTGGTAAGGGATCGGCTTCCGGAAGGCGTCGAGGAAAGCCGGGGTGCCAAATGTATCGGTGAGGGCGATACCGAGGACCTAGTATGATGGGTAAGTGGTTTGTCTGCGTCGTCTAATGACTAACTGATACATACCCCTTCGCCGAAGCACCCGAGCCAGTAGCGGAGAGCCAGCTCGTTCGCATTCTCGTAATCGTCCGTGATGGCAGCGATGGCCATGAACCACTCGTGGGCCACGGTACCAATGGGAGTCACGCCATACTTCATCGCAAAGTGGACATTGCTGGTTCCTGACAAGACGCCCTTCCAACCCTGTCGCTTTCCCTCTTCAGCAGCCCGGCATAGCCCCTGCATGACCAAGTCCTGAGTATGGTAATCGCGTCGACGTCGGGAGCCGAATTCGGAGAAGATGCATCCGTTCTCGAGCAAAGTGCAGCCCTTGCGGAACGCCTTTTCCTCTTGGTTGCTATGATCCCAATCCTTGTCGGTGAACATGAAGTACGCCTGACTTGTCAGGGCGAGGAGTGGGATCTCGTAAAGGATAGTTTCAACCCAAAGCCCCTTGACCATATACTCAATATCTCCCAAGTCATCATCGCTACCCGTGTCTTGTACGGGTGTGAACTTAATGTCAATCTGCTCCGAAGGCTTGAGTTGGAACGTAGTCAGATATCGGAGGTAGGCATGGTTGAAGTACGGGCATTGCTTCTTCAGGAAAGCAATCTCCTCATCGGTCACGCGGACATTGGCGAGCCCTATCCAGGGCGAGGAGTCAATACCAAGATCTCACAGCCTGAGAGTAGAACAAATTCACATACTGTCCATTTGTTCCAGAAGCCATTTATGAGCACCCCGCGTCAACTTCATTTGCGGGGTACGGTTCGTGAAGCCATATGTAACATCTGCGCAAGAAATTCGGTCAAAGCAATTCTAGGCTGTACGTCCGGAGCCAAAAACTTACGAACATCAGGAAAGTATTTCAGAATAGCGCATTGCATTGTCAGCTTATACAAATCTGTATCCAGAAGGGAGAAAATGCCCTCCGGGTGCGGAGGGGTCGTCTCTTGACCCATCGTGGACAACTGTATCGACCTGCACACCTCAATTGAATCTCCAGAGCTCAGCAATTCAGCATCCAGATGAGATCTCAACGTGTGATATGCGTCACAAATTCTCGAAAGATCAGATAGGGCTGGCAAAAAGTCCGTTGCCGAACAGCCCTCCAGCGCGGGGAATCAACGAAATAAGAAGCTGTTTGCACTGTTTGCACCTCTAAGTAGTTGTCATGGAGCACGCGACGTCATACGGACACAATTTGCATCTGATAACGAAGAAAAGTTGGAGAGAATAGCTTGATGCAGGGATATCAAGCGGTTTATATCCTATGGCGTTGCCTTGTACCTACAGCACTTATGTTACGCACAAAGAGCATCATAGTTCATGGGCTGGGTCTATACAGAGGAACCAGAGTAGCAAGAGTAGGTATGAATGTGGCTACAGATCAGACAGACAAGGACTGGATCCAGGGCAAATAATTCCAGTGATCAGCAGCATATATCTCATTGAGACATTGTATGACAAAGCGAGGTCCTGCATCTTTGACAAAGGTGTATAAAGCAAGAGGGGGAAAAAAGACGAAACCTGCAAACGGAATCGTACCGACGATGGAAGCGCAACAAAGATGGGAGGAAAAAAAGACCGCTCGGCCAGGAGACCAAGGTTAGTCAGCAATTTCAAAATAACGGCTAATGGCTGTCGGAAGCAACGCTCCGGGCCGCAAAGTCACCATACCTCTGGCCACCAACCTTCGATCATTGTACCGATCCCAATCGATCATAAAACGACTTGGGCTGCGCGATCCGCAGCATAGGTGCATCAAAATCAGGCTCAACAATACAGTCACACATGGCACATGGTTCCGAGGACTGTGCCTCCGTGTTGGAGCAGTTCGTTCACGATGTGGCGAATCTTCCAGCAGAAATCAACCACTTGATGGAGGAGATCCAGGCCAAGGACAAGATCATCCAGGATTGTCGCGCAACCATCAACTCTCGTGATAGCAGTTTACAGAAATTCATCAAACTCAATGGCAGTCTCACACCGAACCCCAAAGAAGAGCAGTACTCGAAGGTGATTCTTCAGAATCTGGACAGGGCGCAGCAGTTACAGGACGAGAAGATACTGCTGAGCGAGAAAGCATGCATCCTGCTCGATCGGCAAATCAAGAAACTGGACGTCAAGATACGCGATCTACAAAACGATGGCGTGCTCCCAAATGATCCGCCTCTGCCCTCGCTTTTCAACAACAAAGACCAGTACCGCGATCCGCCCAAGATCTTCTTTCCCGATGCAACCGCCGCCGATACTACCTCCTCCCCTCTCCAACCTACGTCAGGCAACACCAACTCTTTACTAGGCATCTCACAACGGCTCAACCAGTCGCTTGCCCGGTCTACAAGTTCAGCCGCATTAGCCACGCAAGGCGCCGCGCGCAGCTCAGCTCCAGCAACCCCGTCTGGCACAACCCACTTCCAGCACCGGCAACGCGAATCATCGGCAGGAGCGGTAGAGAACAAGCGTCGGCGGCTCAACGCCTCCTTGGGCACTCTTCCCGCTGCGTCCTCGAATCTCCGGCAGTCATCCATGGGCCCAGGCACACCCAAGGTAGGCACACCGGCTTCCAGTCGCGCGGGCAGCGCCGGGCCGCGCGCAACGGGCGCAATTAAGAAGGCCGCCACCAAGAAAGTCGCGCCTCATCAACAACTCAAGAAGATCAAGGCCCATGGTAAAGCGACGAAACGCTCCTCCAGTGCGAGCGGTCGTGTCAAGCTCAGCGGTGCGACCAAGAAGTCCCCATCTGCGGCGGGCGGCGATGAAGATGAGGATGAGTCGCTCCTCAGCAGTGCCGAGGCTTCGGATTCCAACGCCAGTGATTCTAGGCGCATGGATGAGGACGTTGACGAGGAAGATGAGGAAGAGGAGGGCAACGAGGATACCAAGGTCTACTGTACCTGCCGCAGTGTCAGTCATGGGGACATGGTTGCGTGCGATAACGACGATTGTCCCTACGAGTGGTTCCATTGGAAGTGTGTTGGTTTGACGAGGGAGCCGGTGGGAACTTGGTATTGCCCACATTGCAAGGCAAACTTGGGCAAGTAGTTGATCGTTGCTGTTATGTCTTGATTTTCTGGTCTGGCGTTCACTATGCGATCTTCTTACTTTGTTGTACATATACCCACCACATGTACCGTCATGAAACGGTCCCATTATGACATACGAGATAGCAAGAAGAGCCAACTGTCTCCTTCCAACCCACCAGATAGCAACTGATGTAATCACAGTACTAAGGTGCTAAGCTCAACGTGCTTGACGGTAATTCCTCGAGTTATAGAAGCAATAAGAAGCGCTGGTATGTTCATAGCATATCATGATTAACTAGAGCGTACAACAAACATGCATCATCACCTCATTACAAATTCTGAGGGAACGGTAAGCCGTTGCAAGAACAATTTTGAAGCTCGCAAAAGAGAATCTGCAGGTCATTTCCATCATATCTCCGTGACGAGAGCCCGAATCGTTTACCGGCCGAGACGAATGACACCAGCCGCCATGAGTTTCTGAATCTTTGTCCGAACCTGGACGTTCTTCATATGTTCTTGCAGGGCAGCGGGGTCGCTCTTGGCCTGCTGGAGGATGCTCTGCATGACTGGGTCCTGAAGGATCGACATGATCTGGTTGCGGCACGTTAGAGCGAATGCTTTAATGGATGGAAAGGGTTGAAGTGACTTACCTCGGGGTCGTTCTGGATTCTCTCCATGGTCTGCTCCTCCGTCTCGCCAGCACGAGCGCTGAACTGAGCCTCCAGACACTTTTGCTGCTGCTGGTCGATCTCACGGGTGTGGGTTCCGTCGTCTTGCTCTGCGGCTTCCGTGCAGGCATCCAAGGCCCTGCTGTATTCCTTCATTGCAACCAGAGCTTGAGACTTGCGAATATAAGCGCGGATGAACTTGGGATCACGGCGGATAGCCTCGTCGCAATCCTGAACGGCCTGGGGGAAAGCCATAAGCTTGATGAGGGCAGCGGCACGGTTCGAGAATCCTCTGGGTCGTGAGGGGCGCGCTTGGTCATCTCGGTAAAGGCTTCAACAGCACCGGGCCAGTCCGCCTCCTGGAACTTCTTCTGGCCGAGCTCGCGAGCCTTTTCTGCTTCGGCGGGGTCAATGTAGGCCTCTTTCTCGGCCTTGTCCTTGGCCTTTTCTGCGTTACGGAGCTTGGTAAGAGCATCGGGAGTGCGGTGTTCAGTGAGGGATTTGTGGTAGTATTCAATAGCTTGTGTGAAATCACCAAGCTTTTCATAAGCGGTACCGATTCTCGCGAAGGCCCTTTGAAAACAAATGGTTAGCTGAGTCAGACGAAAAGACGGAGACTGCAAAGCTCACTTGGCGATGACCTTGAAATCTGCCCGAAGCTCGCGGCCTTCTTCAACGGCCTTCTGACAGATCTCGATGGCACCCTGGAAATCACCCTTCTCGAACTTGGCGGCACCGATGTTGTTCAAGTATGTAATGTCTTTGTTGAGCTCCCAGGCCTTGGTGTAGTGCTCAATAGCCTCATCGAATTGCTTCTTCTTGTAGAAGTCATTGCCGATCTTCTTCTCGGCGTCACCAGCTTCCTGGGCCTTCTTCTTCGCAATAGTCTCCTCATCCTCGGGCTCAGGCTCAGGCTGGGGTGCCGGTTCGGGTTCCTTCTTCTTTTCGGCAGCAGCGGGCTTCGCATCGGGCATCTGCACGTCCTCTTCAGCTTCCGCAGCAGCCTGAGAGGAACCAGCGGCCCCCGGGGGAGCTCCAAAGCTCATGTCGATTCCCAGCAACACACTCATAACCTGTAGGAAACGGGGATCCTGGATCTCCTGCGGGCTCATGCTGTTGGGGTTCTGCTGAAGGCGCTGGAGTTTCGCCATAAAGTCGGCGTCTGCAAGAAGGGGGGAGGTCTTGGGGTTGCTGGCTAATTTCTGGAACATCTGAGGATCGTTGAAAATTCCACCCAAACCAGCGGCAGGGTCGACACCGTCGGCCCGAGCTTCACCATCGATGGCTCTCTTCACAGCGTTGAGACCGGACTTAGCCTGGTCGTTGCTCGGATCCAGCTTCAGAGCTTCTTCGTAGGCATCGTGAGCACCCAAGAGGTCTCCGAGACCACGGTAAGCGGCTCCTTTACGGCTGTAACCCTTCGACCAATCCGGCTTGATTTCAATGGCCTTGTTGGCATCGTCCAGGGCTTTCTGGTAATCAGACTGCGCGGCGTAGACAGCTGACCGGTTGGAGTATAGAATGTGGTTGCTAGGCTCAAGTTCAATAGCCTGTGTGAACTTCTCACTGTTCCAGTTCAGAGAATGGTTAGTCTTCTTTCTCGTGAATCCCGTGCAGCCTCATCAGACGAGTGGGGTAGCATAAATATATATACGTACATGGCGGTAGGATAGTCCTTAGCAGAGAAGGCCTTGTTGCCCTCTGCCTTCAAAGCGTCAGCCATACTGCAAGATTTTCGTCAAGAACTGGTACGCTGAAACTGGTTGGAAACAATTGCGTTGGAGAATCCGCAGATGACGGACAAAGCGAGAGAGAGCTGGCCCATATTAATGAGCTCTACCCGCTGGGTAGCTTCTGGAAATTTCCGAGGAAGTCATTGGATGCCTGAGGCAAAGATCATGCCAAGCCTTCTGGAGCTGTACTGGCCCTAAACCCTTCTGGGCTGGGGGGAAGACAGACATCGCCGAACAAAAAAATAACATCTCCGCCGCATTTTCCTACGTAGTGGTTAGTCACGCTACTACAATATTTTGACTCTGCCGAGGACGTGCATCTATTCTTGCGCGTGCTATCCTCTGTTGCTCTGGCTGGTTGTTTTCCGTTGGCGTCGCTTGTCGGAGTTCGATTTTTTATTCTTATCTTAACAATGCTCACTTTCAATGCTGTCCGGTGATATTTCTCTCGTTCTGTGACCGACGGCTCAAAAATGGCCTCCGCAGCCCCCTCTGGCAGCTCCATCAACGAGCTTGCATCTAAACTTTACGACGAATGTCTGAAGAGATACGACTCTGATCATCTCTTCTATCAGCAAGACCTGCTGGGCTTGGGTGTCGTCGAGAGGAATAACCTACCACTTCTGCTGCAATGCACACAGCTGCTCGTTGACCAAAAACTATTTCGCCTCCTTCAGGGCAAAAATGATCGTTTGGCATGGAAGATCATTTCGCGGGAAGATGCTGAGAAGTATGTCACCTATGGGATACCATCCGGTCCATGTGGATGGCCGCTAACGTCCTATTCTTTTCTTGCATAGGCTTCAGAATCTCAGCCCCGATGAAAGTTTAGTCTACAATGTCATCCACTCGACAGGACGCAACGGCATTTGGGTCCGTGCGATCCAGAATCGGACCAACTTACACAAATCTATATTAGATCGTTGCCTCAAATCACTGGAAGGGAAGAGTTACATCAAGAGCGTCCACAATGTCAAGTTTCCGAGTCGGAAGATGTATATGCTGGCCGGCCTTGCTCCGAGTGAGGATGTGACGGGTGGTGCTTGGTTTACCGACGGAGTACTGGACGCGAACTTTATCAGTACGGTCGCTGGCTTCATCGAGTATACCGTTAGTCGGAAGAGCTGGTATGAGGTTCCTGCTACCGGGAACAAGCGCTTGAAAACGGCCGACGGGCGCGCCTCGGTAAAGCAGGAATCGGGTGAAAAGAAATATCTCCCTTATCCTGCCGGCTATCAGGGCTATCCGACGGTCGCGATGATTACTGCGGCAGTGAACGAAAGTGGGATCACACCCGTCCGGCTCGGAGAGGAGAGCATCATACAATTGCTGGAGATGCTCTGCTATGACAAGAAGCTCGTTGCGCTGAACAATGGTCAATTCTACAAATCGGTCAAGAATCCCGCAGCTGTGAAATTGGAAAAGAATCGGAAACCAGAGGGCGACGTGGAGGATGTGGGCGACATGCTGGTCACGAACGGCATGACCGAAGCACCCTGCGGTCCATGCCCTGTCTTCAAGCTCTGCGTCCCTGGAGGTGCCGTGAGTCCGGAGACCTGCGAGTATTTCGATCCTTGGCTGCAAAAGGCCCTCGGATTTTAGCTTGTTGCACGAGCTCCCGTCATCAATGAACGTCCTCCCACGGCTGATATCCCGTTCATTTCTTCTATTTTCTTCCTTCATATTTATAGCGCGCTCATCTTGCGCCAGGTCATTTTTGTCTGCATAGCGTTGGCGTTCTTATGTCTCGGGACTGGTCAAGGGTTAAGGGCTCCTGTTCTCTTGATATGAGCAAGTTGTTCAGGTTTAGAGAATGAGATCAGAGTTAAGGATATGATTTCGTCTAGTGTCTTGTATGATACGCCCTCTGGCTCTAGCTTTGCATCAGACAGCCCTGGTCTAGCTCACTTGATTCTTGAAGGTTTCAGGTATCATCAGTAGAAGTATCTCATTGACATCGACTAGTCGCCAGTACCTCCATGATCATCCGAGTGCATCATTGTCAATTGCGTCTCTGACGTGCCGAGGCAAAGCGTATTGGCGTCGAAGCATGGGGATGGCCAACAGCGACTTATTCATCAAGCCGAACTGCTGCACCAATTCAGATCTCGACAAGCTTGAGATCATCGCTACTATCATTTTATTGAGAAAGTCCATCCATAAGAGAAACGAAGTCGGCAAGTCGCTGCCCACGAATAGTGGAAGGACACAGTGGGCTCTACCACCTCAAGTGAAGCCATCATGTCTTACTGTAGAGTTACATAGTGCAAGACTACCATAGTACGGAGTAATGCCTATAGCGCACTGCATCACTACGCAGTATCTAGCCTCAGTATTATAATTGAGATAGAAAACAATCAGCTCATTAGGACCTACAACACACGTTAGCCGCAGAAGTAGCTTGCACTTGCAAAGTTAGACCCGGCGCATGGACCTGGAATCCGGAATTCGTCTTCGCTTATTCCGTTCAATTCCATGATTCATTCCCTCCAAAGGGCCCAGGCTCAAGCCTCAATATTCAGGTTTCTCTGGCTTATGCATGATTGCGATTTCATCACACACGTGTGGATGGCCTGGAGTAAATTAATGCCTCATGCTGACAGACGACTATGGTGCAGGACTTCCCCCGCATCATTATTATTGAGAACCACGGGTGGATGTGAGACAGTCAATGGTTCCTGGCTTCCTAGCAATATCAAGTTATCAATCGATCTGGTTAAGGGAGAAGGCAGTCATGAACTATAAGTAATTCAATGAACTGGACTGAAATCGATAGTGTAGTCAATCTTCGATGTCTAACTGCTAGTAGTAGTGTCTGCGATTGAACAAAAAGATCACCGCAATGATTTAAAGCCCGAAAAAAATTTTGTGGGACAGAAGGATTGGGATGCCGATCAAAGTCTCAACAATGCATGCTTGAGTTACCCGAATATATATCATTTCCCGCGGAGTAGTCTACTCTGTACAATGATCTCAGATCGCAGGACAATTCAGCTCAATAGATGTACGCTACGTGCCTACGTGTAAGCAAAGACACTACCAAGGTATTATCTTTGATGTCAACTTGCGTGGCAAAAATCGAGATGGGCCGAGATCCTGGGGTTACGCAATTGACCTGTATATTTCTTGAGGAAGCGTGGCTGGTGAGGGAGGATAACTTGCAACAGGAGAGTGACGGTGTACTTCATTAAGAACTTCACTCAGATGGTTGTCTTTTTGTCTGATTTCAATGTTCTAAAGTTTGGATTTAGAGACGACGGTCCATAGGATATATGGATGTGTCCATGATGCCGAAAGCCAGGCATCGCTCACGGACACGTCGATAAACTGAACTCGTCGCAACAACCAGCGCGGATTTGATTTCCAGTAAGGGACTTCGACAGCGCTCAACTGTTACGGTATGTAGCTGCTAATTGGTAAGAGACGGTGTCCGATACAGAACCAGGGAGGCAATTGGAGGATGATTTCCCTGACAGATGAAGCAGTAGATATCTGCCTAAGGTACCTCGGACTTTACCATGCTTCGTAGTCATAGTCATGCCACTAGAGGACTGAGATGTGGCGCACTATCGATGTAGCCTTCCAGAGCTTCTACTTTGAGATTAGCTTAGATCACAGAATGTGGCGGTGCAGTCATTCTACTAAAAGCTCCTTTAGGCTGTTTGCAGCTCACCGGCGCCGACATGCCTCCTCGCCTTGAAGATATTCGGCTATCTAAATTGCCGCTGAGCATTCTGGTGTATATTGAATTCTCATACTGCAAATGGTATTCTGCAGTAGATAAGAATGACTAATAATTGAGAGGAATTTTATGGGAACTCGGGAGAAACGTAGATCGTTAGTAAGGCGAAGGACTGCCTGCTGTCGTAATTCACGCTAATCACTGATAGTCTCAAGTCTCCACAATAAATGATTCGTTCAGGAGAAGAAAGAATAACGAATGAGGAGGTTAAAAAGGTACGTACTAAGATACCTAGGGACTAGGAAGTAGATCGATCATGGAAGCTCATCCTCCTTTTTCTGGACGCAAAGTAGACAGATACGTCACGACCCGAAGCTACCTCTAGCTGGCCTGATCCCTTTTCTTTTCCTTCCGTACTTCAGCTTCTATCGACTATAGATAGATATATCTCTACCTTTTTTACTTCGAGAGAACGGAGTACTCCATATCAAATTCCTCTATATCTTGATCATCATCTATCCAATCAATTGGCATCCGTCACCGGCCTCTTCTACCCTTTAATCCCAATATCGTTCTCTAGCCGATCCATGCCACTCTACAATACTCTGTACACTGGCGCTCATTTTTGACGCAAGTGGCTCTAAATCAACTCAATCCTCGGCTACGTTGCCCTGATCTGATTAAACTCTTCTCTATTCGCATTCCTTCATCATAAACTCATCTCGTCGACAATCGACAGTATACACTAAGAATTACTGCCTCCCTTCTCTCGTCCGTTCTTATCCTCGATCTTCCCGGAAGTGGGTGCCTCAGTTCCAAGGTACGCAACAAGTCCCACTACCCAAGTGCATCTCCATCTCAGCTTGTCATCGTTGGCACTTCGTGCTTCGCCGATTCGGGATCCCCGCTGCGGAGGTCCCTGAAGGCAACCATCGAAATTAAGCGCCAAAATGCAATGCTCCCACTTGAGCGCCCCGAACTCTCTTGAACCGAAATACACACTATTGCCTTGGATTGTGTTTTTTTTTGTTGATCCTTTTTCTCTCTCATTTTCTTTCCCCTCTTATCCTTGCTCATCAGTGCATATTTTGCCCTCATCAGCCACAATTCCAAGAGAAGAAGGCCATCGTTGGCGGTTCTCTAACGGTTTGCAGTAGGTGAAGTCTTCACCCGAGGCATTCCGCTTTGTTCCCCGGACCGGAGGCAGCCATGGCCTCGCAGAACGTAGAGGACCAAAAGGGTGAATTGAGGCAGCAGGGAGCCATTGAGACTGCGCAAGAGGCCTCCAAAGACCCTCAATCTAAACTCCGACCAGAAACGGTAGAGAAGGTATTAATCGAGGAAACAAGGAAAGCTGGCTTGCCTGCGTATCAATTCAATCCTGACGCCTCACCTGAAGAGAAAGCCGCCGCCGCCGCAGCAGTGAGTTTTACCTTAATTGTGTCCATGGGTTTGTAGGTAAATTATCGCTAATCTCTGTCGCCATTCCCCATAGCGAGTACCACCGGGTTTTCACCATGACAAAAAGCCCAAAGCGAAGGCTATTGTTACGGACGTTGTGAGTACACTTCAGGGTCCTAGAACCACCCTCATTCTACGATCAAACGCCTAATGATGACATCCATCGCACAGGACGACGGAACCCCCGACCAATATGACTTGCCCCCTCCAAGATCGGCGTCAGACCTCATCAAGGAAGAAGCTTTGAGGCCCGAGGAGGACAAAAAAGAAGTCGCGGAAATAACTGATGATTTGCGATGGGCCCGCGACCGGACAGGATGGGCTCCGCAGTTCGAAAAGCCACAGACCGAAGAAGAAAAGGCAGAGGGTACATTGTTAGATCACCAGGACTTTCTGGAGAGCAAACTGGATGATAAGTTCTTCGGAGGTGAGAGAAACTTATGCCATGCCCATGTCTTCTCCATGACCGTCATTCTGACAGCAATTTAAGACTGGTATCACAATGCCGGCGTGATTATCTTTGCGTGTTTAGCCTCCTGGCTCGTTGCTGTCTTGGGCGGCGGACTGGGCTGGATCTTCATTGTCATGGCTGCTTGCAGTACGTACTATCGGACATCGATTCGGCGCCTGCGACGAAATTTCCGGGACGATGTCAACCGTGAAATGGCCAAGCAACGCCTGGAAACCGACACCGAGAGCTTGGAATGGATCAACAGTTTCCTGGTCAAGTTCTGGCCCATTTATGCGCCCGTCTTGTGCGACTCGATCATCAGCTCGGTGGACCAGGTTCTCAGCACTTCGACACCTGCCATGCTCGATAGTTTGCGATTGAAGACTTTTATCCTGGGTAGCAAGCCTCCGCGATTGGAGCATGTCAAGACCTATCCTAAAACCGAAGTCGACACTGTCATTATGGATTGGAAATTCAGTTTCACGCCAAACGACGTCATGGATTTGACTGCCCGCCAGCTGAAGAACAAGATCAACCCTAAGATCGTCTTGGAAGTCAGAGTTGGCAAAGGTGTTGTGAGCAAAGGTCTAGACGTGATTGTTGAGGACATGGCTTGCAGCGGTCTCATGAGGGTCAAGGTCAAACTTCAGATTCCTTTCCCTCACATCGAGCGTGTTGATGTCTGCTTCCTGGAGCGCCCGGAGATCGACTATGTCTGCAAACCCCTCGGAGGCGACACTCTTGGCTTCGACATCAACTTCATTCCCGGTCTTGAGACTTTCATCAAGGAGCAGATTCACGGCAATCTGGAACCCATGATGTACGCCCCCAATGTCTTCCCCATCGAAATTGCCAAGATGCTGGCTGGCAACCCTGTGGACCAGGCTATTGGCGTGGTTGCTGTCACACTCCATGGTGCGAGGCAGTTGAAGAACCCGGATAAGTTTGCAGGAACCCCGACCCTTACGCTGTGGTGTCCCTCAACAATCGTGTTGAACTGGGTCGCACGAAGACCGTTCATGATACGGATAGTCCCAGATGGGGAGAAACAATCTATGTTATTATCACGTCCTTTGCAGAGTCGCTCACGATCATCCCATACGACTGGAATGAATACCGGAAGGACAAAGAGCTTGGCACTGCTACTTTCCCATTGGACAGGCTTGAAGAGCAGCCGGAGCACGAAAGCATCTACCTCGAAGTCATGGCCAGCGGCAGACCGCGTGGTGCAATCCATGCCGATGTTCGATTCTTCCCGGTGCTGGAGGGCCGCAAGCTGGAGAACGGCGAGACTGAACCCCCACCGGAGC